GAGGGCGCGGGAGCAGCACCGGCACAGGCGGCGGGGGCGCGCACGTCCACGCACGCTCACGCACGCACCCGCACCGGCGCGCGCGCCCCCGGAAGAACGTGGGCTCCGCGGGTCGGAGCGGCGGGCGGGGCAGACCGCGCACGCGCCCAGAGCTCTAGGCGGAGGCTCCGCCCATGCGGGGCGGAGCCGCAAGGTGACAGCGGCTGCTCCGAAACGCCGGGTGCGGGCCGCGCCTCGAGCGACAGCCCAGGGGCGGGACCCCAAGTGACAGCCCGGGAACGGAAGCCCCGGGAGCTGTGGGCGGAGCCCGCACTGCAGGGCCGGAAGCGCCTACAACCCGGCAGGGGCGGGACCTAGGCGCGCGGGCCGAGCCTCCCGCCAGTGCCCGTGGTGCTCAGGTCCGCGGGTAGGTGAGGCGGTGAAACCTGCGAAAGGGGAGGTGTGCGGACTTGTCTCGCCGCTGACTTTGCTCGTCCAAGAACGGGAGAGGGAGCTGCTAGGAGATGACCCAGAGGCCGACGCCCCCCTTCCTCCGGGCACTGGTTAGGGACTGACATTTTTTCACCCCTGGAGCGCAGAGATGGGACTTCCTTTCTTCCTGCCCAACCAATGAAGTGCCACCACCACCGTCCAGCCACGCCCCCAGAATCGCCTTCAGACAGTGGCGTGGAAAAGCAGAACCAGCGTCCACACGCTTCCCTCCCCATACAGGTAGGACTCCTGCTCATCCTATTGGCCACCTGGGAGGGGAGGCCTGCCCGTCACCTTTCCCTGTCACTCCCCGGAACCGTAAGCAGTCCTACCGCTTATTCAGTGCTTGCTCTGTGTCTGGTACACTGACATGTGGCAGTTTTCATTCTAGAAGCCACGCAGACCTTTTCTGGCGTGTGTCCGCCTCACTGCCACTCTTGCGCATTGGCCATTTTCCATTCAGCGGAGTTGTCTTTTGTAAAAGAGAAACCTGATGACATCTAAGGCTCCCTAGAACACTGAGTAAAATCCAGGCTTTGCCAACAAGCTCTGACCCGTCTGCCTCTGCCCTCTTCTCACACCTCTCTGCCATCATGCTGGCTGTGGCAGAGAGCTCAGGAAGCCTCCTGGTAGTCGTTCAATTGTGCAACACGAGGAGGCAGTAAGAAAAGGCTTATGAAAACCAAGAAGCAGAAAGGCCAGATTAATACCGTCTATTGATTCAAGAGGGTGAAAGATTCCCGGACAGAATCATAGGAGGAAGGAGGCAGTAAGATGGACAAGCTGTGTTCAGCCTGTGCCGGAAGCTGCACGAACGAACGAACCAGGCCTTAGTGAGTCTATCTTTGATACAACAGTTCCACTTTAGGGTCATTCCTCCTAAAAAAGAATGTTCCCAGATATAGAAAAAGGTGTATACTGTTGTTGTAAAATAGTGAAAATGGAAACCTGCCCAACTGTACAAGCAAGCACACTCAGTGGAACAAAATACCTATTAAAAATGTACACAACGGCTATGAAACAGCGTAGAAAATTCTTGCGATAGTTCCTCAAAGTAAACGAGCAAGATGCATGATATAAAAAGTACATCAGTATGAGTATGTCTACAAATAAGCAACCCAACCTGTTCAGAGGAAGTGACAGAAGATGCCGGTCAAATGCCGACAGTGGCTGTGGTCAGGCCCTGTGCTTTCCATGCCCTTGAATCACGGGAGGCGAGCCGCGTTATCCTTACCCTGAGACAGGGAACTGAGGCTTCAGGGAAGCAGGTGCTCTGCTGCTCCCCAGCCCCTCCCAGGCATGTCCGTGTCTCTACCTGCCCCACCAGGTGCTCTGGTCCTCCAAGCTCTCAAAGCTCATCTCACACAAATCTGTTAGAGGAATACCTTGTCTTCCCCAACAGATGGGATCGCAAAGCCCTTGAGAGCTGGGTCCACAACAGCTTCACTCTATCCCACAAAGCCTGACAGACTTCCCCACAAAACATTTAAATATTTAATCCATGAAGACTACATGGAACCCCTTTCCAAAGTAAATTAACGTAAATGTTGACTTCAGGCAGCGGCGGTGCTTTTCCACCATTCTCCCGGCCCACTGTTGTATTGAGGTCCCACGTGGAGTGTAGACTTCCTACAACTTGGAGTAACTCGCTTTCCCCACTGCTACATCTGGAGCAAGCCTGCTCCCTGATCCCAAAGGAAAGTCCAATACTCCCAGTAAAGGCACTTGCCACTGGGAGCGCCCAGGGCAGCGCACAAGGAAGGAAAAGCAGGGCACAGAACATCGGGTACCGTCTGAGAGCACACTTTCATATCTGCTTGCCTTTTTGTGAAGAAATGCAGGAGGAAAGTGGTGGGGGGGGCACGGGTGGGGAACCGGAGCCTGTTTGGACTTCTGAATCTTGCAGATTGCCTTAAAACGATGAACTCGCAACCAAGGAGCCCTCAAACTGTCCTGGGTCGCCTCACCAGTGTCCCTGCACACACCCGGAGGCCTCCGGCCCCGCCTCCCCCGTGCCACCGTCTCAATTCACAGTTCACGGGAGCTCGCTTCGCAGTTGATTTGCTCCAGGCCATCGTTTACCTCTGTCTGTCCACATGGTCCCACGCATAGAGGGGGTTGGAAGGATGCCACGGGTTCTCTTACAGCAGCCACAGCCACCTCAGTGAACTTCCTCCACCTGAGGAGACTCAGGAAGAGCCCTGCACCTGACCAAAGGACACATGTGGCTTCCCTGCGCCCCAACAGCTCAGGGGTCACTACAAGTAGATGCGCGCAGGACTCGGGCAGCTCGCACACCAGACCCAGGCCCTTCGGTGGAGCAAACTGTCTTCAGTGCTTGGTTTGCAGGACTCTTGCTTGCTCAGCCTGACCCAACCTGTAACCTGGCTGGGTCCTCCTCACCCTCCACACGTCCCTCCTCAGACGCCCCACAGGCTTGTCACCACAGCACCCTCTCACAGTGCGTCCTGTTTTAATTCACAGGACTGAGGATTTGGGGGTCTGCGTTTGAGCTGAACCTGCTTCCTGCTGCCCCTCCCCAGGGTGTGGGCCCAGGACAACAGGGACCTCCTCCGTGGGTTTATCTGCCACTCTTTCCTCACCTTCACGGAGGAAGAAAGACAACCACACAAGTTGGCATAGGTTCTTCCCCAAAGGAATGCTTTATTGACAAATTACCCATTATTTCCTCGAGGAAAAGATAAACGTTCCTACGCTTGAATCCTGCCTTCTCACCACACCCCATCTGAGATTCTAACCCTGGAGAAAAAAACCCCAACGGTGTTCTTCCCATGGCACAGGCACGGATGACAGCCCCCCTGCCCCAGGGTGTCTGAAGTGAGCAGCACTCAGGGTACCAGGGAGCACAGCACGGTCTGCCAGCACAGAGCCCGAGGGCACGGCTGCTCCCTGCAGCGAGCACACAGATGCACGCACAGGGGACGTCTCTGCCTGCTGAGAGCCAGCCAGTAAGGCACGGAGCTGCCCCTGCAGACACACCCCCCAAGTGGGGCCCCGAGAGACTGCTGGGGTGTGGCAGCTTCAAAACAGGAATGAGATCTGTGTAGCTCCTCAGAGAAGGCAACAGCAGAGCTCCAAGTGACCTCTGTGCAGCCCACCTGCTCCTCACTCAGCCCCCGTGTGGGGCAGACGGGTGGGTTGGAGCCGATGAATGCAGTAATGCATTCCGATGCATACAGATGGCCAGTAATGAATGCATCAGCCATTGGGGGCGGGGGGGAGGGGAGGGGGCAGGTGGGCTTGCTTTTCTTTCTCCTGCCCCGCATCCTGCCCCAGGGAGGCCCAGGAGCCCTCTGGCCAGCAGCTGTCCCAGTCCTTGAGAGAGAAGCAAGCTTCATACGCTGGATGAAGCCCATCAGTGAAATAAAACACACCAATGGTCCAGGCCACCCTCAAGCTAGATGCCAAAGTCTACACAGTGTCAAAACCCACTAAAGAACCCTTATTTTTATATATAAAAACATTATAAACAAACAAAGCATAAGGCGATGTAAGGCTTGTATTTCAGCTTGAGTCCAAAGAAATAATGTTTCCTAACTATGAGACTAAAGCTTCGCTTAGCTTTAATTTTTGAAAAATTCGCTGCATTTAAAAAATAAAGAATTTGCTTTCGTTAAAGCTAGATCATTAGTGTAACAATTAGGCAGTTGCTGAGAACCAGTTTCTTTTCTGGAGGGTTTCAGAAAATGCACAGTTTTCTTGTTTAGCGTTTGAAATAAAAACTGAGGATCAGGTAGGACTCTCTGGATGAATCTTCCTTCTGTACATTCCTTCTAGAACTTAGGGAAGGAGAGGTTTTAGGAAATACCACTTATTTTACGCATATCACTCTCCCATCCCTTCCACGTTCTCATGAACCCACCAGATTCCCAAAGGGCCCACTGCCCTGTCCACCCCTGCAGCCCAGGACGGACGGCACAGTGGTCCTGCGTCTACCAACTTCAGTGTAAAGCATCTGCGTACAAAACTGTGTTCTCTAACTCATGCGAGCGCAGCAGCCAGGTCCATGTGTGAACAGCACGACTGTCCTCAAAACCAGCTCTGCACGCTCGCCCACGGCCTGGCCGGCTGTCCCGCTGCAGAGGTGCAGTTGTGGTGATGACGGGTGGGCCTGCACGTGCTCCGAGGCTGGGCAAAGCTGCGACGGGCTTAGAAGGGCGTGTGGTCGGGCAGGGGCTTGTCATCACTCCCCGTCGAGGAGGGAAGGTGGTCACTGCCATTCTCTCTGCCACCTACAACCTTAGACTACGGGTGGGAAAAGACCAAGAGAGAGAGACCTGAGAACGAGCACGCAGAGCCGGGCAGATCCCAGGCCAGCTCAGGTCTCTACGGAGTCTACAGAACTTGAATTCTGATTAGCGTGAATCCTCATTAGCAATAAAAAGGAACAAATCGCTGACACAAGCCAACAGGCCAGAGGTACCTCCAGGGATCTATGCAGCGTAAAAAGAGCCAATCTTCAAAGGCTCCATGCTGTATGGTTCCAATCATGGAAATGGAGAGATCACTAGTTCTGGGGGTAGGGCAGGAGGAAGGAGAACACGGGGAAGGATTACCGTGGGGATCAAACTGTTCTCCGCCTTAGCTGTTATCAGTGTCATATCCTGGTTATGTCACTTCAAGATGTGATCACTGGGGGAAACCGTGTAAAAGGTACAATGGCCCTCTGCATTAGCTCTCGTAACTGCACGTGAATCCACCACCCCAGCAAGAGAATCAAACGAACAGTCTGAATACAGTTACCTTTATGGTCCCAACTCGGTCTTCAAAGGACTTAAAGGTCGCAGAATTCCTTTAAAGAAAGAGAGAGAGAGAGAGAGAGAGATGTCGGTGGAGGGAGCAAACAATTGTGCTGCCTTCCTAAATCTGAAGGGCCTCAGGGTTAGGATCAACCTGCAGAAAAGATCCCTGCCGGCACCCTGAGACCTCACTGTAAACATGTGACAAGCTGAAAAGGAGAGGGGGCGTGCCCAGAAGACAGTCCAGGCAAGGTCATTCTGGAGGCTTCCAGGTCAGAACAGGTCAGCCACACCTGCCAACTCCAAGAACATTAGACCTGCATGCCGCCAGCAGGTGCAACCCCGGGTGAAGTGCAGACCTCTCGACTGAGCAGTGGACGAGATGTGGAGCACATTTCTGCTGCACCCTACATCCACACATGCTGAAGTTATGGAAGGTCCCAGGTACTCCTGACACCAATCTCTCACGGAAGTAAAGGGAAACGAAGGACAATTCGGAACAAGTGAGTGAGGAGGAGGCAGAGGAGGAGAGAGCAGGCCAGCCCCCAGCCCCACCCAGCACCCTCTTATACAACCAGTTCCCTCCCTACCCTCAGGCTTCTAGAAGCAGCCCATCAAGGACCCCCAGACGTGCGATGGGGTGTGGCAGCCACAGAACAGGGACAGGGCCTCTGCTGCGGCACCACAGGGCAGGAAACATGAGTGGGAGGCTTCCAGGAACAGGCCACAGCTCTGGGTGTTCTAAGGAGACCAGGACTCCCCTCCAGGTGCAGATAAAAGTTTCCCATAACAGGCTTGGAGGCGCCTGAAGTCTTGTGGGTGCCAGGTATGTGTATGAACCTCTCCGCCCCTCCCTGGCCCAATACCCTGGGCAGCCCTGGAAGGTTCCAGATGGAGCCCTATTTGATACACTGGTCTCCTCTTAGCCTCCCCCCCACTAGCTCTTCAGCCTAGAAGGGATCTTTCCAACCCCTGGCCAACAGGAGCCTGCCAGGGAGAAGATGGCCCTTGGCTCAGGGATATGGGGAATGTGAAGCCGACTGGCTGGAGCCACCCCCTCCCCCCGGCCCCCCCCCATTTCCACCCCGAGCTGGGACATGCAGTGCACACATTACCTCATGGCTGGCATACTTATCGAGTGGCGGATTGAAGAGTTGCTGCTTGGGAGCGTGTTAGAAGCAGAGAAGGAAGCAGGAGTTACCGAGGGGATGAGCCTGGCATTCAGCACACCCATCAGCTCACCCGCACAGAGACCCGGCTTGGCAGGGTGCGTGAGCTCTGGTCACCACACACAGAAGGGCCCCTGGCCCCGGGAGGAAAGGACCCCGGGCTCCTCTCGCTGGCCTCCAAAGTTGCCCCAGAAATGGGACAGTGCTGAGAGAGAGCTTTAAAATAGGAAACTAAGAAGACCTCGGCCTGGGGCTTTAAAATACCTTTGGTACAAATAGCTGTCAGATGTCCTTACTCGACTTCACAGCAAATGACTTTTCGGCAAAAGAGAAACAACCAGGTCAAGTAAGTAGAAATATTTAAAGTCACACGTTGTTCTAGATTTGGTTCCAGGCCTCCGAGCTGGAAGCGTGTGTGACGGGGCAGCACTAGTATCGGGCCGGACATATGTGCCTGGGTCAGCGTGGGGTGAGGACCACCCAGGAGGATGCCCCACAGGTGCCCTGCCGTTCCTGGCCCTCGAGTGGTAAACGAATCCACTTGCAGGGCAGGAGAGAACAGGAGCCGGTGTCGAGGATGAAGAGGCACAGAACCCGAGAATGGAGAGTCAGCACGCCCCCCTCCCCGCCCCCCCCCCCCCAACGTGAACACGTCTCTTCTCAGGAAGGACGCTGTCAGGCTGGGCTGGGGGCTGGCGATAAGCCATGCGGTCACAGCCCCAGGAGCCGTGAGCTCCCCAGCAGGCTGCAATGCCTGGCAGGCCTGGCTGTTGCCAGCTGGGGCCGAGGTGCACAGCCTCCCACGGGCCAGCCAGAGACCACCCTGCCCGGAATCAAGGGAAGAGCCTTCCACAGGCACGCCCCGCATCAGCCTTACCTAAACGAGTGGGAGAACGGACGGGCCCTGAAAGGCAGCAGCAGCAGGAGAAGAAACGCAGTGTTAGGAAAGGGAGGCTAGTGCCCACCCCAGCCCCTCACTCAAGCTCCAGAAGGCCACGCAGGGACCCCCGTGGCCACCCCGGTCCCTGTTCTCCTCAAGCCCCAATTCTGTGAGAGGCTGCCGCTCCCTCACGCATGTGACTGGCCCCTCTGCGATCCCACCTGGGTCACATACGAGGCACCTGCGTGTCCACGACCCTGTCTGGAATTAGAGGGATGAAGCCCCAAGGACAGGAGCAGCGCAAAGGGGTGGGGTGTGCGGAGGCGGGCTGTACGACCTTCAGGGCTTCAGCTGAATGAGGGTGCGCACACGCATGCGACGACAGGACTGGCCGGGACACCCATGGGGCTGAGCGCCCTGCACTCCAGCTCCACACTCCAGCTGGCAGATTCCAACCTAGAAACACGTGTGTCTGGGGGCAATACGGCCATGTCCTCCACTACCCAGCCAGGCCTGCTCACGCTCTGGAGGCTACCCCCAACATGAAAGTAAGTCATTTTAGAAGCATTCAGAAGATCATATGAGGCTCGATTATGTGGTCTCTTGGGTGGGCAGCAGGCCCTGCCATCCCTTGGTGGGAGAAGGCAGGTGCCTCGTCAAGGCTCACCAAGCTAGACAGAGACCCCTGCTTTAACCCAGCCTTTGACCCAAATCCGATTTCCTCTCCCAGTCTGCCACCTCCTACCCCAGGGCATGCAAACAGCCTCCCAGGCCGGGCTGCTCTCGGATAGGCCTCTGCAGCACCGTGATGTAGGGCAAACATCTCAGCACACAGAAACCTCCCTGGACCTCATCTGCATTCTCAATAAGTGGTGAATTCTCAACTTCAGCTCAACCTGAGACTACGGGGTGAGGCAACGGTGGACACATCACTGACCCCAAGACGTCAGAGTTCCCCACACCCCTGGAAACACAGCAGAGCAAAACTGAAGAGCCCCATGGTGAGGCGCACCAGCAAATAGGCCAGTCCGTCTGAGCACCTTGACTATGTGGGACCTGGTTCTTGTCCCTGGAAGCATGGGTGCAAACGTGACACACGGCAGTGAGGCCGGGCACGTGACCTGAGGCTCCTCGCCATGGTCAGCAGCACACCCCAGTTCCCGGAGCAGAGAGCGGGAGTGAAGCAGAGACGGAGAAGTGAGGTGCACTGTCCAAAGGGCCCGCAGGAGCTCCGGACAGTGCCAACGCCCTGCACACGCCCAAGAAGGAGGGAGAAGGCTTGATGTGAGTGAATCATGCCAGAAGTGACAGGGACGTTCCTCGTGAGAATGTCATTTAGGCACAGCACACATTTATTGCTTCCTTCAAATGCTCTGTTATCAGACCAGCATTTCGAGGAAAGGACCACAACCCCACACACAGCTCACCCCAGCAGCGCTGGGATGGCCCCCCCCACGCCCTCCATGGCAACCCCTGGGAGCAAGGCCAGGCCACCAGTGGCGTGTGATCAGTCTGTCACCAGGCTTACCACAGCACGGCTCAGGTGGCCAAAGCAGGTGTCCCACAGTGCAGCGGCGATGGCGTCCCATCTAATTTCAAATGAGATTCGTTACAGGAACACACCCACAAAGTCAAGCATTAGCAGATGACTGTGTGGCCGGGAGGGACTGCTGCAGACCCCCCTTTTGTCACTCAGAGCCACGTCTGCAGGCTCCAATCACAGCCACTGTGGACAAGGCCTACGTTTACAGGGTGACCCAAAAGGAACCCCCAGCCATAGCTGCTCAGGAGCATGACCAGATCTCCAGTTGTGAGGCCGTGCACTCCTTAGGACAGAGGAAATACACAGACTGTGTACTGATTGTTCAGCCTCTCTGAAAATTTGCAATTTTTCTAAATAAAAAGCGGAGGGGACTAACTACATCCAGCAAACAAAAGGTGAGCACGGCCCTGGGCACGAGCCACGCGGTATGAGTGTCTGTGTTTTCGCCTCTGGCTACATGGTCAGGCCAGAGCCCCCACCTTGAGGCCTCACAAGGCAACTGCCAGGCAGGTCTGTGAGGCAAGGAAATGCCTCACCTACGCAGGCAGGGAGGGAGGCCACCTGAGGATAAGAGGAAAGGGGCCAGGGCGGGATGGGCTCCCAATGCTGTACTCCAAACGCTAAGCCCACGGGCACTACCACCGCGTGATTCTCAAGTCTGAGAAGAGAGGAGCCTCAGCATGGGGTGGGGGCTACAGGGAGGCATTCCCTGAAATCGCCAAGTGAAGGGACCGGTCCTGAGCATAGGTCAGGGGCCAGGGCAGGGCTGGGCTGGGCAGTAACACCTGGGGAGGAGGGGCGTCCAGGAAGGACACCACACTGCCGCTCAAAAGCGCACGCTTGATCTTAGCAGCCCCGAGAGGGACGCCTCGCCAAGGGCAGGGCTAGGAGGTAGCCAAGCCAGGATTCACACCACAGCCTCTGGCTCCAAGGACCAGTCTCCTTGGCTCAGTGCCGTGTAGCAGAGGGGGCCCGGCGGATGCAGCCACGTGTGCTCCACCAGATGTCCAAGCTGCCCCCACACTCCCTGGCCCAAGGCCCTGCTTGAAGCACTTCTGATGGCCATGAAGGTCTCATCAACTCTGGGAGAACATTCAGTTGGGGCCCCTGGCGTACAGCCACACACACTCTGAGATCTGGGCTGGGCAAACACTGCAAGGAAACAACACCCTTGTCCCGGCTGGCTTGCCCAGAGTGACACCCCACCCTGACACCGACCTGCAGGCAGAGTCATCTTTCATCCGTGGAACTTAAATGGCAAGCACCCACCTTTACAGATCCCAAGCGCTAAGTTACCCAAAGGAAACAACAATCCCTGCCGAAGAAGCACAGCAGTGGCGAAGAGGCAGTCCACAAACAAGGGACCGTGAATCGACTGCCCCAGGGCTGGTGTGCCCACACCTACAGCTGCCAAAGGGCCCCGGAGGGCCATGTACCTGAGCCCCAGGCCCCCTCAGAGCCTCTAGTGGATCTAAAATCCCCAAACCCTCACCCGACTGGCCTACCCAACTAGGGTGTCTCACCTCATATCTCCGAGCTTTCTGCTGATGGCAGAGCCCACAGTGGACAGGGCAGCGGACGTCTTCTGTCCCGCCTGAGAGAAAGTTTCCTGAGTCTTCTTGTAGCTGTAAAGAAAACACCAGCTGAACCAGCGCAATAGGAGAAGCAGCCACCACCCATGAGTCAAGGACACCACGTGCCCAGAGAGAACCCCAGGGGACAGAGGGTTAGTGAGCACATGTCTGGCCGCCAGGAAGGGGACTGACAGCAGGGACAAAAGCAGCACGGCCAGATCGCAACCTCTGAGCTCTGCAGTAACTGTTTTCTGACCTTATTCCATCTCGTCTAACGCTCAGATAACCCACCTCCCCTGACTTCTTGCCACAGCGCTAACTGCCCGGCAAGTGGGGCGTCCGCCTGCTGCAAAGCAGACAGACCCACAGAGGCCCTGGGTCTGAGACAGAAGCCAGAAAGGTTCCCTTGTTCTGTTACTGTATTCAGGGAGCTTCTCATGTGAGAGCTCCACCACGCCCATTGGGGGCGGGGGTGCCCTGGACAGTGTGGATGTGTGGCCTGTGGCGGGCTGGCCACTCAGACTCTCGGGAGCCCTCGGGCCCTCAACCCCCCTGTGCGGTCTCACCAATCCTTTCAGAACTGAGGAACCTTCATCTCATGCCATCAATGCCATCGTCCCTAGTGCAAGGGGTGGCCCTGGATCACAGCAAAGACCACCCTTTCTAGGCCTTCCTGCCCCAACCATCCACAAAGGGGGGTGCATCACACAAGACATGGGTCCATGACCTCAACATCTGTGAGATGGGCACAGGCAGGATGCCTGGGCTACAGGGGCAGCGAGGACATCCTTGGGCTCGCCTTGAGAGTTAATACTTGGAGCTGCCAGACCTTGTCCAGATGCCACCATAAACAAAAGATACCGCAGCCTGAACCCAAGGGCTCATTTCTGGCCAAGCTGACATGTTGCCCTAAGGAAACAGCTTGAGACGGCAAGGCTCTCGAGATGCCAGCCTTCTCTCTGAAATTACTTTCTGACGCCTTGTTCGTGTCACCAGGTCACAGACAGCACCAGCATTGGGTCTTCGGAGTCCTTCCCTCCTGTCCACTCCCCCAGTGCCATCCGGAGGCTCCACTGTGATCACGTGCTGCCCTCCTCCCTCACCTTCCCTCCTGAGCACTCCAGGCTGCCCGTGAGTCCCTGTGCCACCCCATCAGCAGGGAGGCCCAGCCGTTCCCATAGCGCCGCGGGGCCTCAGGCTTCTTTGGTGCCCGGCAGGGTCCAGAACTTAAAATACGTGCTTTCCAGAAAGTGAGTTTAAAAACACATCGTAGGGGCGCCTGGGTGGCGCAGTCGGTTAAGCGTCCGACTTCAGCCAGGTCACGATCTCGCGGTCCGTGGGTTCGAGCCCCACGTCGGGCTCTGGGCTGATGGCTCAGAGCCTGGAGCCTGTTTCCGATTCTGGGTCTCCCTCTCTCTCTCTGCCCCTCCCCCGTTCATGCTCTGTCTCTCTCTGTCCCAAAAATAAATGAACGTTGGAAAAAAAAACAAAAAAAACAAAACACATCGTAGTCACTAGGACAGTGAGTTTATCTCAGCTGCTGGGAAGGTCAGTAAATCCTGGAACACGTTAACAGAGAGAAAATAATCTAAAATCTTTACTGTAAGACTTGCCTCGGGATTTCCTCAGGTCCATAACGAAAAAACTCTAATTCTAAATCCAACCTTTAGACAAACCCAACCACCAGAAACCCCTTCCCCTGTGATAGCCAGAAACTGTCACAGAATGGAACAGGAATGGAAATGAAACCCAACCGCCTGTGCAGCTGCAGCCCAGAGAGCTGCATGTCTGGGATCTAGACGGGACCCCCTGGCACAGGGGCAAGGCCGGCTCTAGAGGGGCAGACCACAGCTGGGTCTCACTAAAAACCAAAGTCCACATGCTCCTTTTGGGAGGGTTTCCACAGACTCAGCTGTCATCCTCTGAGGGACCTTCCATCCCGACAGAGCTTTTGCCAGGACCTGGCACATACACACAGTCGCCTCGGGGTCGGCAAAGCCGGCAGGAAAGGGACAGAGAAACCTGCTGCGTGTCCCCCACTGCACGGCCTGCTGAAGGAAAGGCTCTGGGACCTTCTCTGGGGCCCCTAACTTGCAGTATCTGTTAGGGACCCCACCCTCACCCCCACCTGGTGAACTGCTTTCATTTCAAAGGGAGTTAAAACAGATTACCTGCGAGCAACAGACTTGGAGCGTGCTCGTTATTTATAAAACACTGACTACAAGGTTAACTGGGAACATGCAGGATATTTGGTTTCAGACACAGGGTCAGAAAATGTCTTCAAGCTGCTTCTCACGAAATAGCAAACGTTTAAGGTCACGTTAATGTTCTGTTTGCTGAAGTGAAACGGTCTGAAGCAGAGGATTTAAGGCAAAGTCCTTACAGAATTTCTGCCTGCACCCACAGGGCCAGGTGTGGGGAACTGCACTTGGAGAGACCACAAGCCTGTGCCGGGGATCCTTGGTGATGAGGAGGAGTGCCCTTGGGGTCACTTAGTACGGAGCTGGCCGCTGAATGACTGGCAGGAGAGACACTGGCTCGTGGGTCATTCCGAAGGGGAGCACCCCCACGGGAGACGGACCGGAGGCAATCTCCCCCGCTCCACCACCCTCAGCACTTCAAGTGTGTGGAAATGAGGTGCCACCGGGACCCCTTCTGAAACGGGAGCCTCCAAACCAGGGCACATGCAGTGCAGGGGCCGAGGGGCTGTCATCAGCCCCGGTGGAGAGGCCACGCTCAGGCCGTGAGGGGACTGGGGGCCGAGCCAGAGTCTGCACGCAGGCAACCTCAGGCCCAGACGTGAGGAAGGGTGCTAGGCTGTGCCACCCTGCCTAGCACCCCTTCGGGAATCACCCCCAGCTCTTGGGAAGACAAAGGTGTAGGAACGTCGCCAACGCCAGCCGCCAATGCCAGCCTCCCCCGCCATCAGCAAACTCTGCAGTCAGCGTGGGGCATTCTCCCGCACCCTCCCTTGGTGGCTGCTCCCACCCCAACCCTGGGTGGGCACGTGATCCCAGTCCGGCCAGCCAGGTGCGTTTACAGCTCCCTGACCACGGGGGGAGCCCGGGGAGACCCGCGGCGGGCCGTCCTGCCGTTGGGCTGCAATGCCACAAAGATTCAAACCTGCCCCACTGGGCACCCTCTGCACCGTCCAGGAGAAGCCAGCCTGGCGACACAGCCAGTGTAAGGAGAGCCCTGGTCAGGTGAGCCCGGAGCAGGCCTCCCCTCCTTTCAGGCTCACACCCACTCTGCCGTGCTTTCTGTCCCGTACAAGGAAAGGACTCCATATACCAACTGGCAACTATGCCCGGTGCCACCTCGGCACGCCTGCAGCTACGCTCTACCAAGGGGAAGAGCCCAACCAGGCGGTCGTTCCGCGACACAGAACACAGCTGCCGCCACGGCCAGCCGTCTGAATCAGAAGCAGCGGCTGAGACAAGAAAGGATGAGTGGCGTCAAAGCTGCACGAGCCCAGCACAGCCCACGAGCAGCAGCACGACGGGCACAGACGCGGGCGCTTCCCAGCCGTCCCGAGGTCTCTGTCATCCTCCGGCGCGCTGCTGGCTGCAAGTGATGCCCGGGAGTGGCCACCGCCTGGCAAAGCGCTTGAAAGGGCATCCCCCCCGGCCACTTCCACGCCCAGAGCCACACGTCTCTTCCAGAGGGATCAGAATTGCAATTATTTGAGATGGCACTCAGGTCTCCTAAAGCTCTTTTCAGGTAAGTCCACACTGTGAGCCTGCCAGGTGTCCCAAACCACACAACATCTGCAACCTGGTGACGGACCGTCCGATGCGGCCCCGGGGACACAACACACCGGGACTCCCAGAGCACGTGCAGCAACGACACAGACAGCGTGAACCGCCACGGCCCGCCAGTGCCCGCCGCCCCTTGTGATGTCAGGCTGCAGAGACCACACGTGGAGCCAGCAGACCTGGGGTCCCGGGGACCTTGAAGACAAGCTCAGTAACAACCAGTTCCTTTCAGGCAGACACAGAAGGACTACCCAAGTTCTCTGGTATCCATGACAGCACTTCCTCCTAAGTAAAAAATGGAAAAAATCCCAGAAAGTGACTATTTTAAAATATTACCCCACCCTGTTCAAAGGAATTCTAATTGGATTAGAGTGCAGATAAAAGAAGTGCTATGACCTCAGATAAAACGTCAAGAGTCGTTCTGAACCGTGGCTTTGACAGACACAGAAAACTATCCATGCGTGTTTCCTACTGTGCTCATGTTCCACATGGCTGACAGCTCGATGCCCCTCAGACCAAAGAGACTCCGTCGAGACCCCACCAGCAGGGTCCAGGCGGCCCCCACAGCCTAAGAACCACCCCAAGGACGAGGGAAGCTCTGTGAGCCCCTCGGCTGCAGCCACGTCTGCAGGGAAGGAAGACCGAAACAAAGGCCCCGAATCACCGTCCGCAGCGGTCGGTGCTTGGCCACTTTGCCCGCTCAGAAGGCTGAGGGGCGCCTACCAGACAGACGTGCTGCCCAAGGCCAGCCAGGCCTCTCACCTAAGGGACGCATTCGCGTCAGCCAGAGGGAGGGTTTCGGCGTGGCCTGGTGGCCAAGTGAACCTCCTTCAGTGACTACCCGTTTCACGGAAAGCAGAGTGTCATTTGCGTTTAAGAAAAATCACGTAACGGCAAAATAAGCAAAACACACCCAAACCAGGTTTGTGCCAGGTGCACGCAGCCTCCCGGTCCCTGAGAGAGTGTCAAGAGCAGGAGGAGGAGGAGGAGGAGGAGGAGGAGGAGGGAGGTGCTGATGGCAAAGGCACTCACAGGTCTGACTGGGTCACTTTCTCATTCCACTCGCCAAGTTTCTCAGAGGTTTTCATATAGCTAAAAACAGAAAGTCTGTGGTGAATTATTTAGAACAATTATTTCAGCTCGGGTTTCAAAGCACGGCTGAAATTCCAGGGGAGACAAGGACTGGAGAGCGGGAATATGACTGTCCAGCCTGCCTGACACCAGGTCTACTGGTGCTCAGCACCTGCTGTGCAGGCCCAGGGGGGCCCGGGGGGGCCCGGGGGCTGACAGAACCAACCAGTCCTTCCCCTGTCACGCCCAGGGAGCGCCTGGTCATCCCACGTGAGACAGCCCTCCAGGAACAGTGCTGCTGTGAGGAATGAGGAAGGCACAGCCGCATCCCCAGGATACTTCTCTGGCGGTCACCCTTTGGGATCCAAACCCCGCGATTCCCTAGGACAGAGAAATGGGCTTTCGTAGGTGATTTTTTTTTTTTTATAAAATGCGATCGATCTGGGGCGCCTGGGTGGCGCAGTCGGTTAAGCATCCGACTTCAGCCAGGTCACGATCTCGCGGTCCGTGAGTTCGAGCCCCGCGTCAGGCTCTGGGCTGATGGCTCGGAGCCTGGAGCCTGTTTCCGATTCTGTGTCTCCCTCTCTCTCTGCCCCTCCCCCGTTCATGCTCTGTCTCTCTCTATCCCAAAAATAAATAAAAACGTTGAAAAAAAAAAATTGAATAAAATGCGATCGATCTGTCTGCAGGGATGTGGCTTCTCAGTGGGAGACATTTACCCCCTCCCCCCCCCCCACCAGCCCTGGAGGATACATTTCAGAGGAGCCATGTAGCTGTACTCCCCAAATTCAGAGGGCAAAGTCACACGTGAGTCAGAAGTCCTAGGGCTGTGACCACATCACGCTCATGAGAAGGACTCACATCCACCTCAGCAGACACTGAGCTCGGAGGACCGCAGGAAAATCAGTCTCATTAAGGACCTAATCAGTGCTCTCTCAGATTTGTACCCGGAGATACACTCTCATCAATTTCTGCTCGGACAACTAGCTAGTGCATCCATCCACCTTTTAAAAGTATGTGTAGACTCTAAGCTCTCGGAAGACATGCCAGGGGCTAGGCCAAGGACTCAGGGCCTCTGGCTGGCTGCCTGCAGACAGGGATCCTTGATCCCCCCGTTCTGTGAGGCACCTTGTCCCCAAGCACATAACATCCTACTGGCGAGCTGGGGGCACCAGCCTGGCGAACGCCCTCCAGCCTCCAGGGCACCTCTGCCGCGGGCAGGTACCTACGCGGTAGAGACCTGCACATCACGCCAGCTCCTGGACAGGTTCTGTTTCAGGCCCTCCAAGGCGGAGAGGCCCAGCTTCCTTTTCAGCTCTCCACAGTGCCTCTCCTTGGCTGCCAGGACCTGGCGCAGAGTGACAATTTCCTCTTCCACCTGCAAAAGCACAGTTGACTTGATTGCAGGAAGTGACTAACATCCTTACACACACAAGAGGTTTCTCGGAATTACGTAAGGACTTTCCGCTTACAGCACATAACTTGTCTTAGGAACAGAGTCAACAACAAATATCTCTTTTTATCTGGAACCAGCACCCGGCTTCTTGAGAACTGTCTCTTTCCCTCAAGCCAAGTGGTTCTGGCGGGGCTACCAATCACTGTGCCCCCCCATGGATGACCAAGCAAGGCCTGTCAGAGCTCTGCTCTGGGACGGGGCACAGGTGTCAGAAGAGATGATCCCCTCTCCCTCCAGGCTCTGAGTCTGGGCTCAGAAGCTGGAATTGCTGGCAGCTAGGCCCTCTCTGCACGGAGCAATTCCACATGCACTGGGAAGGAAGCAGAGCTGACAGACAGATGGATGGCCAAGACTCAAGTGACAGAGCAACAGCCTTTATGACAACAAGTACATTTCCAAGGTTAGCTCTAGGCCTCGGCAAAGGCAGTTACTCAAGCCAAAAGTAAATCTGAATTTGAATTCAATTTAAGTTTGAATTTAAGTTGAATTTAAGTTTGAATTAAGTTTGAATTCAACTTAAGTTTGAATTCAATTTAAGTTAGAAAGAATCCTGAAAATAAACACCTGAAACTGCTCAAGCCCTAAAATTAAAAAAAAAAAAAAAAAAAAAAAAAAAAAAAAAAAAAAGATGCAACTTGAGAAGGAAGCATCCTCTGGAGCCTGACTACCCTAAAGGTTTTGGTTTTTAGCTCCTGCATCAATAGCTACTCTAAAAAAAAAGCCTTTCCCTTGGGGCGCCTGGTGGCTTAGTCGGTTAAGCGTCTGACTCTTGGTTTCGACTCAGGTCATGATCTCCCAGTTTTGGGAGTTTGAGCCCCATGTGGGGCTCTGCACTGAGCGTGGAGCCTGCTTGAGATTCTCTCTCCCTCTCTCTCTGCCCCTCCTCCACTCATGCTGTCTCTCTCTCTCAAAATAAACTTTAAACAAAAAAACAAATGAAAAAAATTTTAAAGTCTTTCTTTTAAAAAAGTGATTATTTGAAGGCAATAAAAAGTAGCTCAGCCCTTACATCACTAGTTTTTCCAGCACAAAATAGTTGAAAAAGAAATAACTTAGAAACATAGGATCACCCAATCAAATTGTTACTAGTTACTCCAGCAATAAGGACCAATGACTAGAACATTCCACCCATGGTGTGATAATCAACATGGCTTGAGGCTGTGCAGTCCAGCTGTCTTGGGGATACGCACGTTGAAAACTTTAAGTGACATGAGCTTCTGCCGCTCAACTCTGAAATGACTGAGTGTAGCCCAGAAGCTTCACCGCACTGCCCGCTGCTGCTGTAACCTTCACTCAACTCAGACACTGCTACATGCTTTCCCTCAGGGTCTGAGGCCTGGCTGTGGGGCTGAGGATCATCTATACAACTAGCTCTTTTTAGACTCAGGATGCATCAACACAGGATGCCAGCCTCTGCCTGATCGGATGCTATGCTCAGATATCAGCAAGCTCATTCCCCAGATTTTGAATCTAAGTGAGTTGCTGTTAGACTCTGTATCACACAGAAAAAAGAAACACTCCCAGCAGTCAGTCTGAATAAAAATTATACCTGCAGGTTTGGGTTAATTACCATTTCCTCTTAAAGGACTCTCACTTTAAAGATTACATGAAGCGCTTTTATACAAAAAGAAGAATCTTTAAAGGAAAAACGAAGATCCAGGGGCAGATAGTTTGTGGGGTCTGGAAATTGTCAAATGTTAATCCCAACAAAGAATCCCCAGTAGATGGTGTGCTCAGAGCAGCTGTTCCCGTGTGGACACCCTCCTCACGGTACACAAAGCACCAGGCACACAAAAAGTGGCCGCAAAGAGCAATTTCTGTGGGACTCTGGGAATGACCTCCCAGGGCAATTTCTGCAGAGCACAGACAGCGTTATGGCCCCTCATCAGCCTGAACTCACAGTCACCCCCGGACAGATGGCGGAGACTTAGCACCTTTGCGAGCTCAGCCCTAAGCTCCTCCTCCTCAGCCTCCGTCAGACCCTCAACAGCAGGAGTCTGGGCGGCCACCGTGGTGTCGACAGGGACATCTGTCATGGAGTCGGACAGCAGACCTTTGTTAGGAGAATTCAGGTTGATATCTGCCAGAGACAAACAAAGTCAGAAATTGTCAATAAGAAGTTACAGGGACGTAAATAGGGTAGAGGTCTCCACCAAGGGAGAAACTAAGGGTGAGGCCAGGTTACAGGGGAGTCGAGGGGGCTGTGGAGAGTACTCTGACAGGTTGTCGGGATGGTTTGGGCCATTAGGCCAAGGACATCTCAAGCCACCCAAGGTGCTGCTTCAGGGCACTGGAAAGGCTGGCACAAGGCAGCCAGACCTGAACTCTGCTTCCCTCAGGATAATACACTCTGCGGAGACAGGAAACCTTTGCTACAAACAAAGCAGCTGAACCTAATAGATCTTCTAATTTGTAAGGCAAAGAAACGATACGGCTCTAAGCACAAGCACCACTTTCAATCAACCGATCTGCAGAGCACGTGCTCCCATCACACACACAAGATGCACGGGCTGGTCACACAGCCCCAGCAGGGAGTCGGCAAAACACAATTCCCCTGGAGTCTGTTCTCGACCCTCGTCCCACAACAACATGCAGGGAGGCGCAGAGACACTGCTTCCACACCTCCGCTATACCCAGATCAGGTTCCAATTCCTGCAGGCACTATTTCCTCTTCGAGTTAAATGCATCTTCTTGCCTGCACTAACAGCGGGCAAGATCCCACACAAATAAAGAAACATGGGTCTGCTTTAGTTCCTTCCAACTCCGAACACACGACCGCCCTTCAGTAGCATACAATCCGCACACGCCATGAAAACAGGCTTTGTGTGGTGTCCAGCACTTTAGAAGTAAAGGCATAGGGACACCTCACTGGCTCAGCCGGAGCAGCATGTGAGTCTTGAGCTCCAGGTCGTGAGGTCAAGCTCCATGTTGGATGTAGAGATTACTGAAGTAAACATAAAAAAAAAAAAAAAAAAAAAAAAAAGAGGGGCACCTGGGTGGCTCAGTTGGTGAAGCGTCTGACTTTGGCCCAGGTCAGGATCTCACGGTTCATGGGTTCGAGCCCTGTGTCGGGCTCTGTGCTGACAGCTCGGAGCCTGGAGCCTGCTTCAGATTCTGTGTGTGTCTCTCTCTCTGCTCCTCCTCTGCTCACACTCTCTCTCTCTCTCTCTCTCTCTCAAAAATAAATAAAAACATTAAAAAAAATGTTTAAGGGGCACCTGGGTGGCTTAGTCAGTTAAGCATCCGACTTCATCTAGGGTCATGATCTCACAGTTTGTGAGTTCGAGCCCTGCATTGGGCTCTGTGCTGACAGCTCAGAGCCCGGAACCCGCTTCAGATTCTGTGTGTCCCTCTCTCTGCCCCTCCCCCGCTCAAGATCTCTCAAAAATAAAGAAAACATTCTAGAAAATCAATAAAAAATAATAAATTAAAAAAATAAATAAAAACAAAAGCACAAAGGTTGGGAAAAAAACTGCCCGTAGTTACAGATATGTTTCTCTACTGTTGAAATCCTACAATCTGCTAAAAACAGACTGTGCTTAAAACTAAAGATGCTCTAGGGGCACCTGGGTGGCTCAGTTGGTTAAGTGTCCTACTCTTGATTTCCGCTCAGGTCATGATCCAAGGGTTGTGGAATCGAGCCCCGTGTCGGGCTCCACACTGTGCTAAGGGTGAAGCCTACTTAGGATTCTCTCTCTCCCTCTGCCCCTCGATCCCTTCTCTCTAAAATAACAAAAAACCCCTACAAAGATGCTCTATTCAGCTCATTCCCTTCACATGTCCCACACAGCTGGAGGTTAGCGCTTCCTTGGCACTTGATACACGTTTACCAGATGAAGCACAACCATTGTTTTTATCAACTGATTTGGGTTTTTTAAAATGTTTATTTATCTAATTGTGATCGGGGCGGGAGGCACAGAGAGGGAGAGAGAATCCCAAGCAGGCTCTGAGATATCTGCATAGAGCCCGACCCAGGGCTCGATTCCACAACCCTTGGATCATGACCTGAGCGGAAATCAAGAGCCGGAGGCTTAACCGAGTCACCCAGGTGCCCCATCAACTAATTCTGATTTTTAACTGAAATCAACCCACATAACTTTACTTCATGTGCTGTGTTGAACCTACTCAAATTTGCTAAATGCCTTAAAATTTCCACAACCTTGCTCTTCTATTTTTTTAATTTTTATTTTAGAAAGAGGGCGAGTGTAAGTAAGGGAGAGGAGCAGAAAGAGGGAGGGAGGGAGAGAAAGAGAGGGAGAAAATCTTGAGCAGGCTCCACACAGTGCAGGGCTCAGTCCCACGACCCTTGGGATCATGACCAGAGCTGAAAACAAGAGTTGGGACGCTCAACCGACTGACTTCAGCTCAGGTCATGATCTCACAGTTTGTCAGTTCAAGCCCCACATCGGGCTCTCTGTCAGCACTGAGCCTGTTCCAATCCTCTGTCCCTCTCTCTCTGCCCCTCCCCTGCTCTCTCTCTCTCAAAAATAAACGTTTTATAATAAAGGAAGGTAGGTAGGTCTTTGGGACTGTTTCTGCCTATAAAGCTAAAGGTGGATCCTGCAATCACTCCCAGATAGAAACTGGGCATTCACCAAACATGCCAAAGAGCCGCACAATCATTGTGTGATACCAACCTCACCATATTTCTGTAGGTAGATGCCATTCACACTCTGGTTCAGAGAAGACCGAGGCAAGAAAGTGTCACCAAAAGACCTACAGAGTGTGGGGCTGGTGCTGTAGGAGAAACTAGGGGGCTAGAGTCCCTCCTGGGTGAGTCCCAGATCTCTAGAACTGTATAAACTGCATGGTGATAATACAAGGAATAATCTCAAGGGGTTATTCTGAAAATGGAAAAAGGACGTTTGAGAAACAGGTTTGGTATGGTATTCGGCATACAGTAAGTGCTCAGTGTTTTCTGTCACTCTATGGTCAGAATCCAATGCTTGTGATGCTTACCTATATTAGACATACACGTCAAACAGCGAAAAACCTGAATTTAAAACTGGCGGCTTTTGATGTTCAACTATTTCGTAAGTAGACTGCAGAGACAGGAAAATCTACACAGTGTATCAGAATCTAGGAGTTCTGTTTAATTAATACGCTGATACAGGTCAAATGACAGGAAAAAAAAAAAAATCCTTAAATCACCCAGGGTAGTCATGTCAACATAGAAAGTTAGCATCTCTTCTGTACCAGAATGAAAGATGGACTCCAATCACCTTCTCAAGATTTTAATCTGGGCCCACTCCACACCCCCAGCGGCCATCTCAAACCGGTCAGGGGTGTCTGTTCTGGAAACTGGCCCAGTCTCGGTGTGCCCTGACTCACTGCACCCTTCCCCCTTGAGACAACCCCTAAGAAGCCTGGGCTCCGAGCAGCGTTGCCACCCAAGGGGCGCTGCACTGAGCTCGAAGATGGTTCCATTTCCCCTCCCCTCCCCGGGAGAAGCGCACAACACGTCGGCCCTGGTGCAGGGCCGGATGGAGTGTCCTCGAGGGCCCTGCGTAGGGAAGGAGGGCGGTCGACTAGGCAAGCGCCGGGAGGGGGCATGACGACAGCTGCCCGGAGAGAGAAAACCCAAAACTCTGGGGACGAGGGGAGGGGTGCCGGGGAACCGGTCCTCGGAGCGGCCGCAGGGTAAGTTGGTGAGTGGTCCAAGCCGGGGGCGGCAGACGCACGCCCCGGCCATCGGGAGCTTCGAGGCCCGGCGCATGGGAGCTGAAAAGGAGCCACGGGGCGGATAGAGGCGGAGGGGATTGAGAGTCTGAGAAGCGCCGCCAGAGAGGGGAGGAGCGCGGGCTGGGCCCGAGGAGCGAAGGCGCCGGGCCCGCGGGTACCTTGGCCTGCGGAGTCCATGTTCAGGCGGCGGCCGGGCCGCGGCTGGGGTCGGGACCGGGGCCTCGGGCGCTGTAGGAGCCGAGCCGGCCGCACCAAGACTCGCTCGCCGCGCACCCAGCAGCCAGCGGAACCGCCTCAGCCACCGCGGCATTACGTAATCAGCGGCGCGACAACCCACTTCCGTTTTGACGCGTGCTCCGCCTTCATCCCACCCCCACTAACGGTGTCCAATGAGGACTTTGTTCGGCCCCGTCCCTATTACCTGCTCCAACCTGATTGGCGGAAGCTGCGGACGAAGCCGGAAAGGGAGGGCGGGTTCTTAGGGACTGCCTCTCGCGTCGGCTCCACCAGCGAGACACACAGGTAGAACGGTCCGAAGGAACTCGGGGAAGGTGGGAAGTGGGAGGACCGTCCAACATGGCGTTATGAAAAAGTGGGGTTTGGCATTTTTGGAGGTCTCGAGAGTGTTTACCGCTGCTCAGGAGTGCTATGGCTCACGCACCGCACAGACCGTTTGAGGCCTGACTTCCTGATTTTGGAGTTAGCTTCTCCCTCCAGTTTTTAAGTCCTTCCTCTTTATGGGGATTTTTTTTTTTTTTTTAATTGTATGGGAGTTACGCAGAAAAAGGCGTGTCTGCGATTCGTCCTCTAGCCCTGCAGGCGCCGCTGCCCTCACTTGGCTGGAGGCATCTCGCTCCGCACGCACCTGCCCCGGGTCCCGTGCACGCACAGCTGAAAGGCGTGAACTGACCTGCGGGGAAGCCTTCGCGCTTCTGTGGTGGGTGCTCCCTTCCCCTCCGGTGTTCTTTCACTTCATTTTCACAGCAACCTGATGAGCCAGGTGGAGCCTTCCCCACTTCACAGGTGTGGAAACTGAGGTTAAAGTAATTTGTTCAAGATCGCTCAGCTAGTTGTAAAGCTTCCAGCAAATGCTGGAACAAGAGTTTGCCGGACTTTCTCAAAGGAGAGGTGTGAAACCACTAGCGGGTTCGCTAAAACAAGTCCCGAAATTTCCCTTCGTTGGCACCTAAATAGCCACTGGAAGCGAATTCTTAAATGGTATTGAAACCCTTCAGGATCTGACTTCCGGACTGCATTCTCCCTTTCCAGCCAACCCACTCTGCATGTACGGATCCCTCTGTGGAAGCCCCTTCCCCAATCTGGCTAACTCCTCTTCCTGTGTCAGCTCAAAGCACACCTCACCACAGGTGTCTTCCTGGTACCTAAGGTCACCTCTGGCTTGCACTGGCCTAGGTGCTTCATGGCCATGTCCTGCTCTGGTGCTGTCAATTATAGGTCTGCCCCACTTGCCTTCTTTCGGTTTTTCCAGAGTCTCCTGCACTGCCCGCTCTGACTGGCCCCAGTCCCCAGGTGCTGGGGAAGGCCAGTAGTCTCCCCGCCCCCTTCATGCAGTTCATGGCAGATGGTAAGGAAGCAACTGCATTGCAGATGGTGGCGAGCAGAAGGCTTGTCTCTCATTCTGTGTTACATCCTTGAACCCAGGAACGATGCCCAGCCCAGGCCTGGCTCAAATTTGCCTTGCCTAGCAAATGAATGGTCAGTGCAGGTGTGTCTATAGCCCACATGGACATGCCACTGTGAGTACCTGTTACTCTGAGTCTGTTGTCCTTTCCTGTCGAAGCCAGGAGTGTGGAGGTGGGGAGGGGACCCTAGAGGCCCAACATTACTAACTCCTGGTGAGGTCTGGCAGCTAAGACCTGCTTTATAGTCTTCCAATGCCAATGTCCTCTCACAGCTGGGGGTGACTTGTACAAACCCTTCCTCACTCAAATTTCCCAGAGCCATTGTGTATCCTGATCCGGGATAAGGGTACCTCCCGGGGTCCCACAGCCTATGCTCCCATCATCCTTTTGAGGTGATCAAGGCACCCATCACACAGTGTTGCCATAAACTGGGTCAGGTTAATCTCTACATTCCCTTTAGAAGCTGGGAGCAGAATGGGACGTCCACGAGTGTTTGTGGGAGAAGCTGAAGGAGGGAAGGGGGAATCACCCCGGTGAAGGAGAGCACCAGTTCCCTGTGTTCCATCTCACCCTCCTCCCCCAGACACCAGGTCGGGATCCCCAAGGCAGGGCCAGCTTTACTGGTTTCCCGTGTGGGGAGGGGTGAAGACTACAGCCTCCAGGGCAACTGGAAGTCCTCCGGTTCCAGCGGACTGAAGTGAGTGGCCTCCACGTTCTTGAGGTGTCTACGTGCCAGGAACAGCGCGAGCTGCCGGCGCCGCCGTGGGCTCAGGTCCTGGCCCACGAGCCAGGGGAAGGCGAGCCCGTGAGGCCCCCAGTCCTTCTGCTCGTCCTCCTGCTCGTCCTCACGGCGCGCGCGGTAGGAGCGCAGCAGTGCTCGGCACCACTCATCATCCACGCGGTAGCGCGCGTAGAAGGTGGCCTCCTGTGCCAGGCTGCCGGCGCGCAGCCAGCGCGTCACGACCGCGAGGCCTTCGCGCGCCATCACGACTGGGTAGCGGTGCTGCAGAAGACGCAGCAGCAATTCGTTGCCGCGGTTGCCCTCCACGTCGCCGGACGGCAGGGGGCGCACGTGGCCCGAGGTGCTCACCACGTCGTCCAGCGTGCGCCGCAGCAGCAGGACCGGACCGGGGTAGCAGCACAGCTGCTCCGCCACGTTGAGGTTGAAGTGCTCGCGCACGGTGCGCACCACCAGCCCCTTCCAGCTGCGGGGCATGACCTTCAGGGCCAGCGGCACGAGGTCGTCGAAGGTGGCGTCGAGCACCAGCGCGCCCAGCTCCGGGTAGGCCATGGTGGCCCAGGTGGCCGTGAAGCCACCGATGGACCAGCCGTAGACCACCACGTGCGCGGGCGGGAAGTGCAGGCGGTGCAGCGCGTACTTGACCACCACGTCCACGGCGTTGGCGTCATGCTGAGGGAACGGCGCGCCCGTGCTGCCCCCGAAGCCCGGGTGGTTCCAGCCCAGCACCGAGTAGCCGGCCTCCAGTGGCGCCGACAGGCAGCCCATCTCATAGAAGCCGGCGTTGCCTTCGCAGCAGATGACGAGGCGCAGGCCGCGGCCGTGGCTGCCCGGGTGCTGGCGGCGATCCATGAACATGGTGTCGATCTCGTTGCCGTCGCGGGCCACCAGCTTGGCGCGCCGACCGCGGTAGCGCTCCACGAGGCGCTCTTGGCCCTGTTGCAGCAGCGGCAGGAGCGCGCGAGTCATCAGGAACATGGAGCC